AAAAGGCCCTGTGTGATGTAGAAGCCTCTGTGTGTGGGGTGTTGGGGCTGGTGAGCACGAGGCCATGGGTTCTGTCTGCAGGCTGGGAGCAGGGAGTGTGGCTCTGCTGGATAATTGGCTTTTTTATTGCACACTCACTTATCCCCGTTCTCCTCTGATTAGAGAAATACCCTCGGTGACTTTCTGGAGAGCTTTCAGGCTCTGCTGTTTATGCACTGTGGGGGAGGAGAGAGAATTTGGGATAATTTTGTTTTCTCTCTGTTTAGCTGACTCTGAGGCTGGCAGCTGATTGGGTTTAACCCCAGCGATGCTGGAGCAGCACAGCTGCCTCCTGCTCCCGCCTGCATCTGGGAAAACCTCCAGGATTTTCTGAGGGAATAAAATCTGCTTAGAGAGGCTCAGAGCAGGGCTGGGGATGAGACAGAAATGCAGCTTTTCTGCAGTCTGTGGATCCATATTTTCCCCCCATTTTGCAGTGAGGGAATAGAAAACTTGGATAGCTCGTGCAAACTTCCCCCAGGAGCTAACCCAGGTCTCCAAATCTCCTGCTGTTTTCTTGCCTGGATTTCTCTCGTTTCCCTCTGCTGCTTCCCTCTCTCCCAAAGCTCCTCTTCCCTCCACGCAGATCTGTGGTGTCTCTTCTCCCGTGGATGAGTTTTTCCAGGGTTGGATTTGCTGTGTGGGGAGCTCTCAGGAATCCACGGGCAGGTTTTGGCAGAGCCCAGCTTGCTCCTGCTGGGAATTCTGCCCTGGGTTGAGGGGCTGGGCAGAGCCAGGGCACGGGATGGCATCCCAAGGGGCTCTCACCCAGCACGTGGAGGTTTCACGTTTCACAGGGATGGATCCCAAGCCTGGAGGTTGCATTTGAAGCTTCCAGGTGGAGAGGAGGCGGGAGGAGCCGGCCGTGGGAGGGAGGGAAGGAGGGAGGGGAGCTCCAGGCTGGAATTCAGCTCTGCTGGCACTCCCTGCCTCATTCAGAACACATTTCCTCCCCGTTCCCTTCCTTGGAGAGGGAACAGCTGAATTCATCTCGCAGCAGGTGATGGAGAAGGGAGGAAAGTCTGAGGGAAGCTGCAGCAGGAGCTGCTTGAGGGGGCTGAGCTGGAGACTGAGCACAGATTCCCTGGAATTGCTCCAGGGAGCTTTTCCTGCTGCTCCTGGCAGTGCTGGACAAATCTCCAGGGCTCTGGGGGTGATTCCTTGGGAGAGAT